GAAACAAAAAAGACAATTTGAGAAAATAACATAAAATCATGAAAAATAACAATTCAAAGTATTGATAGATTCATTTGTGTTTTCACAGCACATGAATACATCTTAGTAAAACAGACCATTGTTTACTGTTCTGTGTATTTGATTGTGACAATAATTAATAACACTGAAATGTACAGCATGTACAATTTGTGGATATTATATCAAAATATTAAAATTACTACTGAGTTAATTTACCTCTCACACAGCACACTTGACCATGAGTGCAACCAGTGCAGTTCATTTCCTTCTCATTGTCATCGCAAATATCGGCACGGCAATTACCACCACATTCATCAACACATTGATTTGGCTCCTCTGTCATCATTACCCGGTTCAAACAGAAACAAAAACGACGATTTGAGAAAATATCATCAAATGCATGAAAAATAACAAAGCGAGGTAATGATAGATTCATTTGTGTTTCACAGCACATGACTAAATTATTTTATGCAACCTATTGTTTACTATTCCGTGTATTTGTTTGTGACAATAATTAACTAAACTGAATGTATTATGTCTACAATTTGTAAATACTATTTCAAAATATTATAATCATTACTGAGTTAATTTACCTCTCACACAGCACACTTGACCATGAGTGCAACCAGTGCAGTTCATTTCCTTCTCATTGTCATCGCAAATATCAGCACGGCAATTACCACCACATTCATCAACACATTGATTTGGCTCCTCTGTCATCATTACCCGGTTCAGACAGAAACAAAAACGACAATATTGAGAAAATAACATAAAATTCATGAAAAATAACAAATCTAAGTATTGATAGATTGATTTGTGTTTCCTAGCACATGACTAAATTATTGTGTGGAACGTATTGTTTACTCTTCCGTGTATTTGTTTGTGACAATATTTAATAAAACGGAATGTACTGCACGTACAATTTGTGGATATTATACCAAAATATGAAAATTACTACTGAGTTAATTTACCTCTAACACAGCACACTTGACCATGAGTGCAACCAGTGCAGTTCATTTCCCTCTCATTGTCATCGCAAATATCAGCACGGCAATTACCATCACATTCATCAACACATTGATTTGGTTCTACTGCATCATTACGTGGTTCAGACAGAAACAAAAACGACGATTTTGAGGAAATAATATCAAATATATGAAGAATAACAAAGCGAACTTATGGGAAGAATCATTATTGTTACACGGCACATGACTAAGTTATTGTAAACAGACCATTGTTTACTGTTCTGTGTATTTGTTTGTGACAATATTTAATAACACTGAATGTACTGCACGTACAATTTGTAGATATTATATCAAAATATTAAAATCACTACTGTGATAATTTACCTGTCACACAGCACAATTGACCATGAGTGCAACCAGTGCAGTTCATTTCCCTCTCATTGTCTCCGCAAATATCAGCACGGCAATTACCATCACATTCATCAACACATTGATTTGGCTCCTCTGTCATCATTACCCGGTTCAAACAGAAACAAAAACGACGATTTGAGAAAATATCATCAAATGCATGAAAAATAACAAAGCGAGGTAATGATAGATTCATTTGTGTTTCACAGCACATGACTAAATTATTTTATGCAACCTATTGTTTACTATTCCGTGTATTTGTTTGTGACAATAATTAACTAAACTGAATGTATTATGTCTACAATTTGTAAATACTATTTCAAAATATTATAATCATTACTGAGTTAATTTACCTCCCACACAGCACACTTGACCATGAGTGCAACCAGTGCAGTTCATTTCCTTCTCATTGTCATCGCAAATATCGGCACGGCAATTACCATCACATTCATCAACACATTGATTTGGCTCTACTGCATCATTACCCGGTTCAGACAGAAACAAAAACGACAATATTGAGAAAATAACATAAAATTCATGAAAAATAACAAATCTAAGTATTGATAGATTGATTTGTGTTTCCTAGCACATGACTAAATTATTGTGTGCAACGTATTGTTTACTCTTCCGTGTATTTGTTTGTGACAATATTTAATAAAACGGAATGTACTGCACGTACAATTTGTGGATATTATACCAAAATATGAAAATTACTACTGAGTTAATTTACCTCTCACACAGCACACTTGACCATGAGTGCAACCAGTGCAGTTCATTTCCCTCTCATTGTCATCGCAAATATCAGCACGGCAATTACCATCACATTCATCACACATTGATTTGGCTCTACTGCATCATTACCCGATCAGACAGAAACAAAAACGGCAAATTTTGAGAGAGAAAAAACATAAAATTCATGAAAAATAACAAATCTAAGTATTGATAGACTCATTTGTGTTTCACAGCACATGAATAAATTATTGTAAACAAACCATTGTTTACTGTTCTGTGTATTCGTTTGTGACAGTATTTAATAAAACTGGATGTACTGCACGTACAATTTGTGGATATTATACCAAAATATTAAAATTACTACTGTGATAATTTACCTCTCACACAGCACATTAGACCATGAGTGCAACCAGTGCAGTTCATTTCCCTCTCATTGTCATCGCAAATATCGGCACGGCAATTACCATCACATTCATCAACACATTGATTTGGCTCCTCTGTCATCATTACCCGGTTCAGACAGAAACAAAAACGACAATTTTGAGAAAAAAACATAAAATGCATGAAAAATAACAAAGCGAGGTAATGATAGATTCATTTGTGTTTCACAGCACATGACTAAATTATTGTATGCAACCTATTGTTTACTATTCCGTGTATTTGTTTGTGACAATAATTAACTAAACTGAATGTATTATGTCTACAATTTGTAAATACTATTTCAAAATATTATAATCATTACTGAGTTAATTTACCTCTCACACAGCACACTTGACCATGAGTGCAACCAGTGCAGTTCATTTCCCTCTCATTGTCATCGCAAATATCGGCACGGCAATTACCACCACATTCATCAACACATTGATTTGGCTCCTCTGTCATCATTACCCGGTTCAGACAGAAACAAAAACGACAATATTGAGAAAATAACATAAAATTCATGAAAAATAACAAATCTAAGTATTGATAGATTGATTTGTGTTTCCTAGCACATGACTAAATTATTGTGTGCAACGTATTGTTTACTCTTCCGTGTATTTGTTTGTGACAATATTTAATAAAACGGAATGTACTGCACGTACAATTTGTGGATATTATACCAAAATATGAAAATTACTACTGAGTTAATTTACCTCTAACACAGCACACTTGACCATGAGTGCAACCAGTGCAGTTCATTTCCCTCTCATTGTCATCGCAAATATCAGCACGGCAATTACCATCACATTCATCAACACATTGATTTGGCTCCTCTGTCATCATTACCCGGTTCAAACAGAAACAAAAACGACGATTTGAGAAAATATCATAAAATGCATGAAAAATAACAAAGCGAGGTAATGATAGATTCATTTGTGTTTCACAGCACATGACTAAATTATTGTATGCAACCTATTGTTTACTATTCCGTGTATTTGTTTGTGACAATAATTAACTAAACTGAATGTATTATGTCTACAATTTGTAAATACTATTTCAAAATATTATAATCAATACTGAGTTAATTTACCTCTCACACAGCACACTTGACCATGAGTGCAACCAGTACAGTTCATTTCCTTCTCATTGTCATCGCAAATATCGGCACGGCAATTACCACCACATTCATCAACACATTGATTTGGCTCCTCTGTCATCATTACCCGGTTCAGACAGAAACAAAAACGACAATATTGAGAAAATAACATAAAATTCATGAAAAATAACAAATCTAAGTATTGATAGATTGATTTGTGTTTCCTAGCACATGACTAAATTATTGTGTGCAACGTATTGTTTACTCTTCCGTGTATTTGTTTGTGACAATATTTAATAAAACGGAATGTACTGCACGTACAATTTGTGGATATTATACCAAAATATTAAAATTACTTCTGAGTTAATTTACCTCTCACACAGCACATTAGACCATGAGTGCAACCAGTGCAGTTCATTTCCCTCTCATTGTCTCCGCAAATATCAGCACGGCAATTACCATCACATTCATCAACACATTGATTTGGCTCCTCTGTCATCATTACCCGGTTCAGACAGAAACAAAAACGACAATTTTGAGAAAAAAACATAAAATGCATGAAAAATAACAAAGCGAGGTAATGATAGATTCATTTGTGTTTCACAGCACATGACTAAATTATTGTATGCAACCTATTGTTTACTATTCCGTGTATTTGTTTGTGACAATAATTAACTAAACTGAATGTATTATGTCTACAATTTGTAAATACTATTTCAAAATATTATAATCATTACTGAGTTAATTTACCTCTCACACAGCACACTTGACCATGAGTGCAACCAGTGCAGTTCATTTCCTTCTCATTGTCATCGCAAATATCGGCACGGCAATTACCACCACATTCATCAACACATTGATTTGGCTCCTCTGTCATCATTACCCGGTTCAGACAGAAACAAAAACGACAATATTGAGAAAATAACATAAAATTCATGAAAAATAACAAATCTAAGTATTGATAGATTGATTTGTGTTTCCTAGCACATGACTAAATTATTGTGTGCAACGTATTGTTTACTCTTCCGTGTATTTGTTTGTGACAATATTTAATAAAACGGAATGTACTGCACGTACAATTTGTGGATATTATACCGAAATATGAAAATTACTACTGAGTTAATTTACCTCTAACACAGCACACTTGACCATGAGTGCAACCAGTGCAGTTCATTTCCCTCTCATTGTCATCGCAAATATCAGCACGGCAATTACCATCACATTCATCAACACATTGATTTGGTTCTACTGCATCATTACGTGGTTCAGACAGAAACAAAAACGACGATTTTGAGGAAATAATATCAAATATATGAAGAATAACAAAGCGAAATTATGGGAAGAATCATTATTGTTACACGGCACATGACTAAATTATTGTAAACAGACCATTGTTTACTGTTCTGTGTATTTGTTTGTGAAAATATTTAATAACACTGAATGTACTGCATGTACAATTTGTAGATATTATATCAAAATATTAAAATCACTACTGTGATAATTTACCTGTCACACAGCACAATTGACCATGAGTGCAACCAGTGCAGTTCATTTCCCTCTCATTGTCTCCGCAAATATCAGCACGGCAATTACCATCACATTCATCAACACATTGATTTGGCTCCTCTGTCATCATTACCCGGTTCAAACAGAAACAAAAACGACGATTTGAGAAAATATCATAAAATGCATGAAAAATAACAAAGCGAGGTAATGATAGATTCATTTGTGTTTCACAGCACATGACTAAATTATTGTATGCAACCTATTGTTTACTATTCCGTGTATTTGTTTGTGACAATAATTAACTAAACTGAATGTATTATGTCTACAATTTGTAAATACTATTTCAAAATATTATAATCATTACTGAGTTAATTTACCTGTCACACAGCACACTTGACCATGAGTGCAACCAGTACAGTTCATTTCCTTCTCATTGTCATCGCAAATATCGGCACGGCAATTACCACCACATTCATCAACACATTGATTTGGCTCCTCTGTCATCATTACCCGGTTCAGACAGAAACAAAAACGACAATATTGAGAAAATAACATAAAATTCATGAAAAATAACAAATCTAAGTATTGATAGATTGATTTGTGTTTCCTAGCACATGACTAAATTATTGTGTGGAACGTATTGTTTACTCTTCCGTGTATTTGTTTGTGACAATATTTAATAAAACGGAATGTACTGCACGTACAATTTGTGGATATTATACCAAAATATGAAAATTACTACTGAGTTAATTTACCTCTAACACAGCACACTTGACCATGAGTGCAACCAGTGCAGTTCATTTCCCTCTCATTGTCATCGCAAATATCAGCACGGCAATTACCATCACATTCATCAACACATTGATTTGGCTCCTCTGTCATCATTACCCGGTTCAAACAGAAACAAAAACGACGATTTGAGAAAATATCATAAAATGCATGAAAAATAACAAAGCGAGGTAATGATAGATTCATTTGTGTTTCACAGCACATGACTAAATTATTGTATGCAACCTATTGTTTACTATTCCGTGTATTTGTTTGTGACAATAATTAACTAAACTGAATGTATTATGTCTACAATTTGTAAATACTATTTCAAATATTATAA